TCAAGCACAGCAGAATGAACATAATGCGTTTTGCTGCAGCAGCTGCAGCAAAAAACAAAGTGTCAAAGTTTCCACATTGCACAAGGTGAATGTATTGCTTACGTCATTCAAGGCCCACCAAGGAAGCAAGCCTAAGCAACAATATAGTTCAAAGACGTCGTGCACATGCATGAGGATGTATTGTAATTGTTAAATTATAGCCGAGCGCCGCCTAAATCCTGGAGCAATGCACTTGCTTGCTGAATAATCGTTAAATTTCTTTCCGCAGAAAAAAAGAATTGAATATATAAAACATGATGGCGCAACGATTTTTGTACTTCCAGCACATACCGCTTAGATACAAATGTTTACGCTTTTAACCCACGCATTACGCGTTAGTTAAGACTTAGTTATTGAAAGCCACAGGCACCGAGTCTCAGATTTTTTTTTTATTTTTTTTTATTAATTTCATGTTGCACCCGCAACTTCGAGACATGAGCACTGGAAGTTGCAAGTGCTGTCAGACGACCAGATAGCGGTACTTCAAAACACAACTACGTGCGAAACATGCAGATAACGTCGGCATGGTATGGCCGCACACCTTGAGTCAGCAGTAACAGATAACTCCGAAGTGAATTGCACACACCAAGTCGTGATTAAAAAGGGGGCATATTTCTGTGAATAGATATAGTCTAACGAATAGAGAGTCAACCTGCAAGCAGGTTAACTGGCGTTAGTTAATCATTTTCGGTAACAGTCAAGAATGAAGTAAGAAAAAAAAGCTTTGTAAACAAAGAAAATGGCTCAAAGGGAACTTCTCAGTCGAGGAAAAAGAAACAGGAGGGGTTATTGGTTACATTGGCAACCAAAAAGCGTCTCTGTGATCGGCATTCGTGATTGGGGAAACGCTCACTATGATGTCTTTAGTAACTTTAACGGTGTTGTTTTAAGAACAAGATGATTCCAAGCTTCTATCGTGATGTTCACACACACCATCGAGCTTAGATTCCAACCGATAATAAGTAGCCATGAATACCACTCTCGACATCGCGATAAACAAAATCTGTTCCTCACTTTACGAACGAAAATCATTAGAGGCCGCCAACAATACATCCTTGGGCTAAGTGTCTGTCGAAGGAAAAAGAAAGCTATCGTTTGAGTGGGGTTTTATTCATTTATATTGTTTATGGACTAATAAAATCAATTGATTGCATTACATTGAAATTCGTGCCTCTTCTATGGTGAGCAGTTTTGGTTGGTAACTTGGTAAACTTGAGAATAAAAATGTGTTTTTATTTGGAAGCGAAAGCTTGCCTGTCATGTTTGTGTGCGATATATTACAGTTTGTTGGTTGAATACGAGTCCCTCCTCTCGCACACCTCTTTTGTGCAGTGCTACATATGTGCTAGAAAATATTTACCGAGTAGAATAAACCCGGGTTTCGCACAGGATCTGGGCACCCTTGACATAAGTATGTCTGACAAAGATGCGCCTTGACAAAACTGTTTAGTTTTTTTCAAGGGAAACTGATCAAAGAACGGATAAACCTATCTAATTGCTTTGAAGTTTATAGTGCAGGGAAACTCGGGGAAGTTCCATTGAAGAGTCACCAGAGATTTCATCATCTGCCCCCCCTTAGAGCGGAGCGTCATGTTCAAAGGATCGCATGAAGGTTATGCAGCTGCAGGCGTCAGCTGTCACCCTGAATCGAGGTCGTGGAGGCGTTGGCGAAGTTCGAAGCTGTCTGTGCGAAGAGTGTTAGTTTTTGCCCATGACGCAGTCAGGTCGTGCCGCCTCGCAGCCGGATTACTGCCATGAGCGGGAACCCCATTATCCAGGTGCCGTTACATGCTTGCCTCCCTTTTTTATTTTTTCATTTCTTGGAGTTTTACCGCTGGGTGGTGTGTGAACTCGGAGCTTTGACCGTGCCGCTAAAGTGAGTTATCACAGCAGACACAAAAAAATGAATAAATCGTCAATTTATTTTTGAAGAGCCACTGAAGTCAAGACTGGGACCGGTCCGTCCAGGACCTAGCCTTGTGATGGAAGGTTGAGCCTTTTTGGGGGCATCTCGCGCCGGTCCGAAGATGTTGACTACAACAGGCGTTTCATGAGAGCACTCAGTCATCGGGTCGTCGTGACATCTTATTCGGAGAGGTTTCTTGTTGCCAGCCCAACTGCTGACATGTGCCACAGGCCGCAAGTTCTGGCGACAGGATGTCCACCAGCGTGTAAAGCCTGGAATTATCACGGAATTTAAATGCGTCCGGAGAAGGGAGGGAATCGTCAGAAGAATCGTCCAAACGTTTTCAAGTTAGGGAAAGTGTGCGATGTGGGCGGCACAGTGGCATGCAACGAAGCAGGTGGGTGTGGCGTAAATAACCTCTTTACTGAGTAACAGTTGCCCGAGTCATTACGGGGCAGCGCAAGCCAATACCCGATTCGCAAGATTAAACAAAAACAGTCCGAACAGCCGCTGTAACCCCATCCTCCGCATTTTCTTATTTTGTAATGATCAGGGAATTGAATAAAATCATTAAAGAAAAACCTTGGGAAAATAAGTGAATTTGAAATATGCAACTTTATAGACGCCCTCTCTTATCATGCAGGCATATTTTGGCTAAAATCTAGAGTTACCTTGGCCTTCAAAGTTTTCAACAGCCTTCCGTCTTTCTACACCGAGAAGTACAGCACTCACTATGCGATGCTTGCAGCACCCTAAGTTAATTATAAAGGGCTCAGAGATATTTTTCTTCGTCAATGCCGTATATAATACTCAGAGTATAATTATCTGCTACGTCTTCATGAGCCTCAAATTCTGAAATTTCATGGTTGCAGTTGAAGTATTTATTTCCCCTATAATTCGAAAAACTCAGCGACAAGTGACGGGACCCAAACGTTAGTCGGGACGATGTTCGCGGGAGGTTCAATTCTAATTCGGTAGATTTGTCAGCGAGATGATTTCTCTCTCGGCCATTTATGGGGCGGTGAATGTCTTAGCGCGTTACATCTGAAATTTTGAAACGGCCGGCAAGCCTCAGTATCAAAGCGCGGCGCGTTAACGTAGCTGAGTCAGGTAAGATGAACGGCACAATGCTCCGGCGCTTGTGGCTTCTACGAAATACCGCCAGCCCATCCAACGTGGGCGTCCATGAGATCCCCGGGCGTCAAGTCACAGTCAGTGCCGTTGCCTTTGCTTTCCTCAGTTAAGGGTTCAACTGAACGTGGGCATTGTTTCACGTTCGTTTACCCGAGTGAATGGTGTAGGTGCAGCTTGTTTTTCACTAATCCTCGAACGCGATTTTGTCGAGGCGAGAACACTGAAAGGGTTACAGACCTCAACAGTCAACTTATTGGTGAATCTGGAAGGCTGCTCGCTGCCGTAGGTATTAGGCTACGAGAAGTCTATTTTCTTGGCTTGAATCGAAGATCACCGACCGGGTGTCGTTGGGCCGAGACAAAATTTCAAATCCCGAACGTTCAGTCCTGCATAGTCAAATTTGGTGCGCCGTGTTTGGAAAAAGGGAATAATAAAGATTTTAACGAGGCAAATGACTGTTTAATGGAAAACAATGACCGTGATAAGAAATGGCGACTCTACCATTTCAAAAAAATTCCCGTTCATATTTTTTTTACAAAACTATTTTACCGCAGTTATTGCGAAACTTGCATTTGTTTCATCAACTAGAAGTCTTGGTTGCGTACGTTCTCTAACTCTAACGGTTGCGCGAAAGTTTCTGCACCATAAACAATACAGCATGTACGATCATAAACTGTATACTCAAACCCCGACACACGGGCCAAATCCGGCTCGCGGACGTCTTCCGACTGTCCCGTAGCTGGCTGCAGTACTCCCAATGAAACACTGCCCGCGGGCCGCGTAGAGCAGGCCCGCTGGTACCGGCACAAATATAAGCGCGCGTAAAGGAACTGCGCCCGACCAGGCATTAGCTGCGTAAACGAAATTACAAGAAAAACGAGATGAAACTTCCAGACTTGTTCATTTATACAGTTACCATAAGGCCATGAGGGAGGAGGAGGAGGGAAGGGTATTGAGAAGAGGGTAGGCTCCTCCTCCCTCTCCTTCTCCTCCCCTCATTCTTCAATATCCTCCGAGGGGGGGGGGGGGGGGGGGTCACGTGACCTTTGGGTGAGGGGGCGCGTGAATCTGGGGGGTCACGTGACCTAAAGGGTCACGCGACCTGGGGGGTCACGTGACCTCGGGGGAAGGGGTCACGTGACCTCGGAGGTCACGTGGTCTGGGGGTCACGTGACTTAGGTGGCTCACGTAACATCGGGGGTTCACGTGACCTTGGGGGGTCACGTAACCTTCTGGTTACGCCGACGGCGACGCCGCTCAAGCCGGAAACGGGCCCCTAAGAACTGGGCTCTAAGACGAGATAAAACTTCCTACCATAAGGCACGTCCTCTCGTCATATTATTAAGGGCGAATGGTACCCCGACATATGACTTCAAGATGTTCTGACATTATCTCAACTTCTCCGGTGTAAAAATGGTTCAAACTTTCCAGGCATATTATGTTGTGCTTCTAGTGATACCAAGCAAAAAATGATGTAAAAGTAGTGAGGCATCTTTAACTTATAAAAATATGAAATTAATAGTTTTCTTACCTTATTTAAGGAACATTTAGAATATAGCTAGTGCTAATAAAGCAATGAAACTTCTCTCACACCTTCTATGCAATATGGCATTTGACTGAACTAAATTAATAAAATTTAACTTTTTGTTCCTGCCTCGCGCAGATCCTCATCGAGATTTATCTCTTTTTTGTGGATCGCGCGGTGAAGGAGCATCTTGCTCGCTCGGGTAATGAATGTAAGATCTTCCGGTACGTTGACGACTATCGCGTTCTTTATACTATCTGAAACTCAGATGTTTCCATCCTTCAGGCATTCAAAACTAACGCCAGCGGCCTCACCTTCAAAAGGGAAGACCCTACTCAGGAGGGCCTTCAATTCCTTGATCTTTTACTGACCTATTTGTCTCACGATCTATGCTGGTCTTTTCAACAGCGCTCCCAGAAACCTGTCCTCAACTTCTCTAGCCATCATTCAAAAACCGTTAAGTCCGGAATTATTCAGTCTCTCCTTTCCTCCCCTTGCAAAAAGTCTTACGATCAAAAGATCAGAGGGAGCCTGTCGCTGCAGCCCACCAGGCTCCGGAGGCCGGGCTACCCGATTGACCTTTTAGATAACATCAGCAAGAAACTCATCCTGCAGTCTAGGAGCCGCCCAAAGGAGGCCCCCTCTGGGATCCGGTCTCCCGCTCTGCGTGCATCTCTTACTCCCACAACACGGCACACCAACTCTGCGCGCTTGCACATCGATTCGGCACCAGAGTTCTTTTCACATGCAAATTTAAATTGGGACGCATGTGCAAGCAAGTCACAAGGCCAAAATCCCCCCCTCCCCACATGCACAAAAATAACAAAAAAAAAAACAAAAACAAAAAAACACGCGCAGTGCTTTCGGCCCTGCACAAGGGAGAAGGTGTATAGTATTCCTCTTGTGTGCGGAGCTGAGTGCATCGGTCAGACGAGGCGCTGCGTGAATGACCGTTTCCGGGAGCACGCCAAGGAGATCTCGTCACCCTCTCCGGGCTTTTTCCATCCAGTCGTGGCTCACGCCAAAAACTGCCCCTCCTGCAACTCCGAGTTCTCGACAGCCAACATTTTTGGAGGGCACAAATTTAGATTCGGCAGGGAAATCCTTGAGTCTCTACATATCAAATCTTCAGTCTCAAACCTGTCCAGCCCATCTCTTTCTCTTTCCGATCGAGAGATTCGCTTCCTGCGTTGCGAGAACGTTCCTCGAAAGACATAAAAAGTCTAAAGTCTTGTATCTTCTTCTCCTCCTATTCTCCGCGCCTATTTCCCCCCTCTCCCCTCCCTTCCCCAAGAGGGCATCGCCGGCACATCTCCTTTTCTCGGCGCCTTTCTCCCCTCCTCCCTTCCTTCCCCAAGAGGGGAACGTCGGCACTCGTGGCTGCGTGTAACCGCGACGTGTCGATTGACACACAGCAGACAACCGCCCCCTTCCACCCTGCACGCTTAGCTGCAGCCAGGGCCACAAGGCTTACGCTTCTCTCACCCAAAATCCTCCCTCTTTACCTCCCCGACGCCCGCCCTCGAGCTTCAGGAGGCGAAGTCGAGCCAGTAAAGGTTTTGTTGAAAATCGAGAGCCCTGCATTGTCTGTTTGTCTTAAATGTCCCTCTTTCCTTATCGTAAAATTAATTGTATATTTCTTGATATTTTGTAATTTTTCGGAATTTGAAAAAAAAAACTCAGGAAGGTATAAAAACATTTTGAAAGAACGATCGCTTAGTACACAACTTTAGGTTGGTGCCTAATTACTTAATAATATTCCCTATATTACACTAAGATACAAACATTAAAGGGGGCCAATTTAAGTCCAGATAGGAGCTCCAAAAACAGGGGACATTACGGTATTACTTATTTTTTATTAATCTTCAAGCTCCGGTTTCAGCCACGGCACTTGTGTCCTTTGTTCTCATATAAGTGATAATTAAATTGCATGTGTTAAATTTCCAAAGCCTTCTTTTGTTGTGTTTATTTGAATTACAATATCTTCAGTTTATACAGAAGCGGCCTTATTAAGAGCCAGAAAAAGCAATGTGGGCAGCGGTGCCCGCAACTTTCGAAATAGCCAAAAGTTTAATCCACCTCATATGCTCAACATATATAACAATTAGAGAAGTAACTTGTGTTGTTAATATATATATATATATATATATATATATATATATATATATATATATATATATATATATCTTTCTTTTTTTTTAAAGATGAGTTTTATGATGCTGCCAGGCGCTGGCCTCGTGGGCGACACACGCCGGCGTTCGCCAACGAGGCATCAACGGTGTGAGGCGCCTCCGCAAGGTCCTTCAACGGTCTCCTGAAAACACGCTCAATTCAGTTGAAGTGGACGTTATCCTCACTTCTATGCATTCTATTTACGTAAGGTAGTGATACTGGCGTTTTTATTTTAAAGGGACACTAAACCAAACAATTTAGTGTCCATAATAAGTAGCGCACGTTCTTTCCAAGAGTAGAAGCCGCCGGTGTGCGCGAGCACAAGCGACGAAAATGACGTCATAGTCGCCCATTCGCGCTGAAGACGACAGTGAAATGTATGGGCTCCTGGCTGAAGGAGAATAGGAACCGGCTTTTCATCTCCACAAGTGAAAGCTACGTGCTCGTTAGACCAATTGATCGATTACTTTTTACACCAGGCCCTACTGTGGAGATGAAAAGCTTCTCATCATTCTCATTTTCCCTGGAGCCCACAAACTTCAGTGTCATCTTAAGCGTGAATGGGGAACTATGATGTCAATTTTGTTGCGTGTGCTCGCGCACACCTGCGGCTGCTGGCTCGTGGAATGATCGTGCGCCGGTTATTATAGATACTGAAATTGCGACGGCGTAGGACCGGATGTGCTGCTATGGAGCGGGTCCTAAGCCCTCGCAAGAGGCTTAAAAACTGGTCTTGTTTCATCCGGTCCTATTCCGCCGCAACTCTGTCAACGGGTCATCACTCTACTTCTGCCCAGGCAACTGTCGACGAACGCAGGCCTGCATTGTCTGCTTCCCGAGTCTGGAAACGAATACAGCGCGTAGGCCTTCTCTGTCGTATGTCGAGATAAAAATCTCGACATACGACAGAGAAGGCTGAATAGGTATTTACCGGTGGAACACGATAACAGTGACTGGCAACATAAGACAGTTGCCATCGGGTTCGTTTAAGTTTATAGGCACAAATTTGCCCCCCTTCAAACTTTAAGTTTTCTGAGTTGTTTATCGTCAGCCATTTTTCATCCGTGACAATATGAATTCGCTGTTCTGTACTGCGTTAGAAGTTGAACTGTAAAATTACACGAAATCATATTTTCACGAATATGACAACAGAGGTGTAAAATCTGTATTTTGTATAAGCGAATATGCCAAATCTAAGCTAAATAAAAATCATTTTATTTAAAATGAATATACAAAAAGATGACACCGCGTAATTAGGGTTTGTAAACAAAGAAACATCATTATTTGATTCGCTTGAACATACACAACCACATGAAAGCAAACAAGAAAAATATTGCATTCTTTAAACTAATTATGTGTTTCTTTCAATCTTCAGGATTGCTTTGAATCGACAGGAAATATCGCCGCTTACCCACAGCGACCTTAAACTCTAGTCAAAGATGTATGGTCGTGACACGGGCCCTTGTGAAAGTATAAGGCATAGATTCCTTTGTGCAAGATATTTGACAGCGACTTTTGTCTTCAAAATTCTTTAATGACAGAAATGCGGCGTTCGAAAAGCAATCTTTTGAATTTTGTAGAACACATTAAACAGTCATTTCGGCGGGTTATTTTGACCCGCCAAATTTAGCGGGTCAAATGAATTGGTGTACAGGTGACGTAACGTCAATTTTCCCGCTAAATTCAGTGTGGAAAATTAATTTATCTGTAGGTCTCGTAACGTCAGGTCACATGAGATCGCATTTCCCGCTACATTTAGCGGGGAAACTGAATTAGTGTTTAGGCCACGTTACTGAAGTTTCCCCGCTAAATTTAGCGGGAAATGCCCGGACGAACGGACGGACAGTCAGAAAATTTGAGAAATTGGCGATTTAGTTAAAAACTATTTCGTGCTATCAAATGATACTCCAATCTCTTTAATCTCCAACGTTGGGCGACGACTCAAACAATCGAGTGAGTGGGACGCCATTTTCCGCATTCCACTGCTGCACCTAAATCACGTCAAACCCAACAATGCTAAAAAAAAACCTCAGGAATTTTGATCCCCGGAGAATCAGTTGACGTGTGTGTTTAGGCACGGCACTCGTAAACAGCAGAAGCGTTAGCATGTACCAGGCGCCGTGCCTTCGATCTCCAGCTGCCGTGCGAAAGTGAATAATGGACACGGGTGTCCTGGGTTCAATACTCGCACGTGCCGGCGTATCGGCGTGCCGTCGCGTACCACTACAACGTGACGCATCTTAAAAACACGTCTACACTCTATTTCACCTTACGGTGCACCGATGAGCTCGCGCTTCTAGCCTTTGCTGCGGAGTATAGCACGGGTACCGCACTGGGTAGATTTTCATCTACAGCGGGGACACCTGCGGGGCCGGCTTGCGATACTGCGTTTCTGCTTAAAGCCAGACGCCGCCGATGAGACAAAGGCGAGCATGTGGTCCTGAGCAGCGCTTGCACTGCACGAGCGGGAGTGCTTGGCAGAGACTCTGAGAGCCCGGAGCTCGCTCTTTTAGCATCCGTTGCGCTTACACTTTAAGAGACTTTGAAATGAATGAAGAAAAAGAAGATTTTTCTTTAGAGCGCAAAGATAAAACACTTATACATATTTTCGTAATTTTTTTTTTTTTTCACACAAAAAAAGAAGAAACCCTGCAATATTTACGTTGTTAGACGATATTTCGGTGGGGGGCAGGACACGACACGTGCGCACAGATCAGTGGCCCCGCCCACTACTATTGGACAGAGTCTCGAACCGATATTTTTATCGGTTCGCAATCGGTTAGGGGTTCATGGCTTTCGGTTCAGTTCCGGTTCAGTTCCGGGCAGCGAAAATGAGGTTCGAACCGGTCTGAACTGGTTCGTACCAGTTCGAATCGCTAAATTTAGAATATATTTTCTGCGTTCTTTTGGCAATAGGCACGATTTCTAAAGTGAAACTGTAACTATATTGCTTTTCATCGTTCGTAGAATCTACTTTTAATTTCAAGGACCAAAAACAAATCGCTTTATTTAATTTCGATGAAACCGTAAAATAAAAGCTAGGTCACCGTATATGACTCAACATCTTTGTTTTGTTTTACCGTAGTCGTAAATATTTTACCTGATCCGAAAAATTATCTGTTTAATAGGTCGCCTAAAATACTCATGATTATTACAAGTTTACGTCGCACTATTAAAAGTAGAATCCTGTTGTGCTCTTGAACTTAGCAATTAATTACAGTTCATAAAGTCGTGAAATGAACACGTCCTCGCCACATATACTGTGAAATCTAGTTTACAAAATACGTTTTACAATATATATGATGACGACGCGACTGAGCTAGAAGCAATAATATTTTCGAAGTGTTAGGAAAGCTTTAGAACAAACCCTTTCAGTGTACCTTCTACAGAAACACTGAGCGGCAATAACAACGCTTGCTTTCCTGGCCAATATTGTTTGCACTCAGCACCGTGATGCAGGCGAATACTTCTGCAGAAAAGAGTGACCTTCGTACTCAGATCGGATCTGACCTAAAATGGCGCGTATCGAGATGAACATTTTCGACATAGCTTGGCGTTTGAGGTGTTTTCTGGACAAGATGCCGGTCAGTTCAATTTGTAAATAAGCATCACCCTTGTTTTTTTTTTGTTAAATCGAGCAATGCTTGACATTGCAGCTACTTAACTGGTTACTCTCTGACGGCCTACGTCCGCAATCGCCGTATTTTTGCCACGCGCCGCTGTGTACTTTGTTTTCGTCCAGCCCACAGACACTAAAAGTTTTTTTTTTTCCATCACATAAAAGAGGCAACATACTTCTTTATATTTGGGGAGTTGAATATGCGTCAGGAACTCCCAGATCACTTATAGACGTGCCTATCGAGGATAAAAACGTCGGTAAAGATTTTCAGAGCATATTTCGGATAATTTGGGGTTGCATTTACTTACGATCTATATCTTTAGTGTGATCGGTCCTTTATTTAAGTTGTCAATTCTACAGGCAGTAATAAAATATTTTTTTCTTGACATTAATAAATTTGACTGTACGAACTTCAGATCCTCCCGTG